TTCACAGAACTGCTAGATAATTTTGAACTGCCAGCATTAAAGTTAGTGGTCTAGTACAAACTGAACAACAGACCAGAATATTTTAGCATAATTACATAGAAAAATGTAAGGAAAAAATCTTTTTGTTTTTGTTGTGTGCCATCAAATTGGATTTGAATGGCACAGGAGGAGATTACCCCTCCTTCTCCAGAGGAGCATCTGGTGAATCCAAACCACCCTTCTTCAGAATTGCAGCATAGTTCTTGCCACTAGGCCACCAGAGCTCCCTTACGAAAAACTATTGAGTCTGATGTTACCATAAGAAAAGAACTAATACACTATCAGGAATTTCTTTATCTTCTCCCACTCTAGCTCTATACTTAACAAATGCACAGTACCAGATTCTTTCTTGTATGTCTTCTTTTTCTTCAAGTTAGTTTTGAATAAGATGTAGCGATCATAGAGAATAGCAAAAATACTAACTCACTCATAGTTTTCTTTAATAGAGCTGTCTGTCTGAAGTAGGTAAGATACTCCAGCCTGGGGTTTATGATTTAAGAAAAACTGATGCCTAGCCAGTGTAAGATTGTCTTTTGTGTTCCCCACATTAAGGGAGAATCTGAAACTTTGATGATGTTCATTATCAGATAGGAAATAAAAAAGAAAGCCCTTTGCTTTGACTGAGATTCTTAGGAAATTGTTATTGTTAGGTGCTAATCAGTCAACTCATAGTGACCCTGTGTGTGATAGAGTGAAGCCTCGCACCATCCTGTACCATCCTCACGATCTCTCCTGTGTGTAAGCCCGTTGTAGTCACAGTGCCAGTCCTTCTTGTTGAGGTTTTCCTTTTTTTCTGACTCTACTTGCCAGACATGCTGTCTTTCTCCAGTCCCACCATCTTTGCTTCTCAGGAGCACTCTCTGGCTGCACTTTTTCCAAGACAGATTTGCTTTGTTCTTTTGACAATCCATAATGTATTTAGTATTCTTTGGCAACACCATAATGCAGAGATACAGATTCTTCTTTGTTCTTCCTTATTCAGTGCCCAGATTTCGCATGCATTGTTTATTTAGTATAAGACTTTGAGTGAGGTATGTATAGAGAGAGCATCACTAGGCTAGGCACAGTGATTTTTATTTTTGAGAAGTAGGAAAGTTGAAGACGACTTGAATAAATTCAGTTAACTCTTGTTCCCTCCTGCTCACTGCTCTTGAGCCAGCTTTGACTGATAGCAACCCTGTGGGACAGAGTACTCTACCACTTGTAGTGTCAGTCTAGAAGCACCAGTCTCATCCTGTTCCACCTTTATTTGGTTCATGATATCTATTAACTTAAACTTTACTCATTGTATTAGTTAGGATACTTTGTGGGGCAGGGAACAAATCTACCCCAGCTAACCTAAACCAGGAAGTAGTAATCCGGGGATGTTTCAGAATTTTAGAGTATATACAGCTCTAACCAGGAATTAGAGCAGTGGAAATATCTATTAGAAACTCCCACGTTCGCTTTATTTTCAAGAGAAGCTGAAGATAGACTGTCATAGTACCATTTACAAATTCCTAGGGGAGGATGTTGAACCAGCACAGGCTAGATGTTCACTGCACTCCAGTCATAAGGTTATGTTGCACAAACGTGGCAGGCAGGCAGGCACTATTCTGTAACATGTACATGGCACAGGAGGACAGCTTCCAGGAAAGGGGAGAGATTCTAGGCAGACACACCATTAGATACCTGCTGAATTAAGAAGTTGCTGAACATGTATTCAGCAGTTCTAAAACCTCATTTTACACAGATCTCTCTTATTGTCTTTTGCTTCCTCAAATCTTACCTGGTTTCTTACCCACCTTACTGATCTCCTTTTCCTTGACCAATTCCTGATGGATTCTCAATAACTTCCTGATGTCTTACAAGTGAACTAAAGTGTATTTTCCTCTGTATAACATAACTTCTCTCTGGTATTATAGTTTAGTGATATAACCTGCCCCAGCTAGTGGGAAAGGGCAGAGAAGCAGGTGTTGTGAAACTTAAGCAACCAGGAAAGTCTGTTCTGCCATTGCTAAGACTTTATATTCTCTTGTTACAGGAACATGACATAGAAACCCCTCATGGTGTAGTCCATGTCACTATAAGAGGCATACTGAAAGGAAACAGACCAGTTATTTTGACATATCATGACATTGGCCTCAACCGTATGTATTTTATTTTATACCTTCCCTTTTTATCATAATATTTAGTCTTTGTATATTAATAATAATTTTTAAAGCCTAATATGCTAATAGAATGGGGATTTCCCTCTCTTTACCCTTCCCTTCTCATTGCTGCATATGTTATTGGCAGTGAAAGTATGGAAGGGAGTATATTTTGGGGATACTGAAATTCTGTGTCATCCTTTGTCATAGATGCTCAACACTAATGATAATATGACAACCAGCTCAAGAAAGTAGAACTGAAATTGGTATTTTCTTTATGTCTGTTCTCCTGGGTTTTTCATGTTTAAGGAAATCCAGAGTTCTAAGTTTTAAATGAATTTGTAAGAGTGTTCTTGGACAAGCTGTCATCAGTGACTTACACCTGACTTTTCTCAATAATGGTGTAAGATTCTGTCTCTTCTGATAGGCACAGGTCTATATTCATGCTTCTCCCCACATTTCTCTGGTTTTCAGAGGTAACCTGTGTTTGAGACTACTGAATCTTTTGTTGCCTCCTAAAAGGATTTAAACAGTTATACCAAGAAGGTGAAATTAAAGCAGCAGCCTCTCTTTGTCAAGAGAAAGTGTCCCAAATAGGAATGTAGGCTGATCCAAGATATTTATTCTAGCTAGACTCTTGGAATATACTCAAGTGTCTCTATGTTAGATAGATGAATAAAGTGACAGAGGACGGTGTTATGGATGTTAAAATTCTCTTTGTGCAGCACCTTGATTGTGTAAAATTGAGTTGTTTAAAGTTACCGAGACATCTGGTGTTTAGCCTTTAGGGCATCTCAAACAGATGGATTTTTTAGACATCTCATTTCAGTGAAGCAGTGATTAAAAAAAAAGGAGAGAAAGAGGACATGAGCATTATGACAGTGATCTCATGTGAGAGAAATGGAGAGCCCCTGACTTACGAGTATTTTTGTTCTTACAGACAAATCCTGTTTCAATGCATTTTTTAACTTCGAAGATATGCAAGAGATTACCCAGCACTTTGCTGTCTGTCATGTGGATGCCCCTGGCCAGCAGGAAGGTGCAGCCCCTTTCCCAACAGGGTAAGGCCACAAAGAAGATCTTCTGAGGACTATGACCTCAACAGAACAAATGACCAAAGTCCCCTGGGAAGAAGTATACTTGCTCTTCTTTCCACAGCTTATAGGTCATGCTTCTTAGCGAGTCATCCCATAATTTATCTGCTTAATATGAGAAAAGTGTAATGACCATGTATTTGGGAAAGCTGCATGTTTTCCTTTATCTAGAAGTGGTTTTCTATAAAGAGACCTGGCTCCATCTATATCATCACCTTCCTTTTTTTTTTAATATCCCCCTTTGAAACTTCTAGCTAAAGCCAAACTCAGATCCCTCTGAGCTTTCTGGGATCATCTATCTCTATCCCTTCCTTTCCCTTAGTGATTGGAATTTAAAAATTTGTATTGTCATTTATTATGAGTGGTTGCTCTGTTCAAGTAAAAATGCCATATGATTGGGCTAAGAGGTCTCAGTCTCATCTTAAGACTGTTTTGTGGGACAGAACCAGAGACTACCTAAGTTTTTGGACAAAGTGCTTAATAATTGCAGAAATAGAAACCTTGGGAAGAGGAGTTGTAGTACAAACACTAAAATGCTGATCACTCCCCTCTTCCTTTCCTTTGGCCAGTGACTCCTATGAACTCGACCATTGCAGACAAATTATAACTGACATTTGCATGGGACTTAAGCAGTGTTCCGGACACTGCTTTAAATATTTTACATGTGTTCCTCATTTAGTCTTCACAATTCTGTGAGAAAAGTTTACTAGTATTTGTATTTTATAAGTGAAGAATGTAAAGCAAAAAAAAAAAAAAAAGAATGTAAAGCCTAAAAAATGAAGTAATTTAGCCAAAGTTACAAAAGCAATAAATATCAAGGCTATGATTTGAACCCAGGCACTCTGGCTCCAGAATCTGTTACATGACCAAGCTATTCTATATCTCAGTACATATTAGCCTGTGAGACCAATGTACATTCATCAAGATGTAAGTCCAATTTTTTCCCCCTATTTTGTCCACAAATAGTTGATCAGTACTTCTTAAAGTGTTCAGAGATAGTCTGGCTTCTCTGTCATGTGCTAATTCTGCTGGTCAACTTAAAATTTCTTCCATCTCTCATTCTGCAGTCTTTATGGATGCACTCTGTTCTTGGGTCCCTAGACTGGGTATGCTTCTGGGTTTATTTGACCTTCATAGGATAAAATGGTTCATAGGATAAACTGCATTCAAATGTAAATAGTAACCATGAGTTACTATTTCTGTCATTTTTTCATCTCATCCTTAAAAAAAAAAAATCAACTTTACGGATGCTATCTTTATTTTATAGCTAAGAAACTGAGACTCAGTAAACCATCTCTAAGTAAAACAAAATTGCCCCAGGATTTGTGACTATACACTGAGGCTTGTAAAACTTAACTTTTGCTTATAGCTGCCTAAACATAAGCAGCAAACCAAGAGTTGCTTTCTAAGTTGAATTTTACTCTTGGGGATATACTAGTTTACGGAATCTAACAATTAATTATTTGTTAGAGTTTTGGAAATACCTTCAGAGAGAACCATATTACCATCTGGTCCCAGAGTTTGCTTTTTGGAATACAGAAACAGGTGGTTCTCTGTTTCCTTAGCATAGCAGTGGTAAAGAGTCGCACAGTATGCTGTAATCATTTCCAAGCACTACATCATCTTTGAGCATTTGATAGAAGGGAATGCTTTTGCCTAAGAACTCTGTGTATTTCAGTTCTTCTGTCTGGGGAAATGTATGTGCAGTTTAATTCAGGAGATACCCTTCTGGTTTCAGATACCAGTATCCCACAATGGACGAACTGGCAGAAATGCTGCCTTCTGTTCTTACCCACTTGAGGTAGGTTCATTCACTTAAAGTTCTTGTTTATCTGCTTGAGATGGGTTTACATGGTTTTTACTAAGTTTCTACTATGTATCTGATCCAGGTTACATGATGGTGAGCAATACAAAAGTCACTACCCTTGTTGTTGTTGTTGTTGTTGTTGTTATTATTGTTGTTGTTGTTGTTAGGTGCCATCAAGGCTTAGACAACTCATAGCAACCCTATGAACGAAAGAACTGAGCGCTATAGAGTTTCCGGAGTCAAGCCATTTCGGAAGCACTACCCTTAGGAACTTATATTTTAGTAAGGGAAATAGTTAACAGGAAAGCAAACAAATAATCACAATTAAAGTTTTATTTTTAAGTGCCTTTTTTAAAAAAAATGTGAATATTGTGATAGAGAATACAGACAAGATCTGTATAATTAAAACGATTTAGAGAATGCCACTTTAAGAAGGTGTCATCTGGGCTGACACCTGAAAGAGAAAAAGAAACTAGGTAGCTAGAGTACCAGAGAAAGAGGATTCCAGAACTAGGTCAAAAGGTGGTAGGCCTGACCAGCAAGGGGAATAAGAGCAGGGAGTGAGATTTGAGATATAGACCAGATTGCATAGGTCTTGCAGATCAAAAAGAATTTAGAATTTTATTCTGTATGCAAAGAGAAGACTTCAAAAGGGTTTTTAAGTGGAGAGAATAACTATAGCCTTTTAAAATAGTCCATTTAGATTTGTAAATGATACATCAATAAAGTCATTTAAATTTTTTAGAAAATATTACTCTAATTGTAGAAAGTGTAGATTGAAGAGAAATAAGTAAACAGGTAGACTAGGAAATGATTAATAATTGTTCAGGCAAGAAATAATGATCGCTTGCTGCTGAATGCTGTTAGGGTCATGGAGAGAAGTAAATCAAGTTTAAGAAATACTTTGGAAAGTAGAGGTGGGAGGGTAAGGTAAAGTAAATGGGAAAGATCTGGTGTGAAAAACAGTGTATATGAACTAAGTAAACCAGTTTAAAATAAAAGTTTTATTTAAAAAAATCCACCAAACTATGAAAGAAGAATAGTGTGAAAAACAATATATAGCACTTTGCAATAGAAAATAAAAATGTACAAAAATTAATTAAAAAGGCCTAAAAGTTTTTTTGGTTTTTTTAAAAAATACTTTGGAGATACATTCCACAAGATCTGTTGATAGATTGCATATTGAGGTAAGCAGGAGAATGAGCTTTAAAGGATAACTCCCAGGTTTCTGTCATTTTTTCATTTCATCCTTAAAAAAATCAACTTAAATATGTTATCTTTATTTTATAGCTAAGAAACTGAGACTCAGAATGTTAATGAAATCTGCTCAAAGTTCTCATGTCTAGTTAATCAGTAGCAATTAGAATTTGAAGCCAGCTGTGATGTTCTTTCCACTATACCATGCTGCCCTTGAATAGAGTTAACCCTCAATATTGGTGTGTCCCATTCACAGTCTGAAAGGCATCATTGGGATTGGAGTTGGAGCAGGAGCTTACATCCTCAGCAGATTTGCAGTAAGTACATGGAGGATTAGTCCTGACATCTTTGGAGTCAGCTATATTTGGGTCACAGCTTTTACTGCTGTGTGAAATATACAGGTCCTATTTTGAGTCTTGTGTCATTTCTTCTATAAATTTTGTCAGCTCCAGATACAGGTTTGTATAAAGCCTTGCTTCACACTTAGAGTACCTGAAAAACCATAAGTGTTAGCCCTATGTCTTCAATAAAAAATCAGGCTTAGATGATTCTTATAACCAAATTTTGTACAGCCATTTACATATAATGTTACTAATGAATAGTTAAATGCAAAGTTTGTCATCATTATAAGAAACTATTGAATGATAATATACTAAAACATTAACAGGGTTTGATGTTATATGGTAAATGATATGGGGGAGTCTTCTGTGTGTTTTGGGGTTTTTTTCTGTGTTTTTATGATTTCTCTTTTAGTCTAAATTTTAGTGAACATAATCACTGTAAATGGGAGAGGAAGGTATTAAAGATTAAGCCAGGGAGTTTTGAAGTTTAAGTATAAATGTTCCTTTTTAATTTTTAAAGAAGTGTGTGGAAAAAACTAAAATCCTGCTGGTCAGACACAAAACTATACGGATTGATGAAATATTTTCTCTGTTCTGACACCAGCTGCACATCCAGGTGACCCTAATCATTGGTCAGATCTCAAGAATTATAAAACATAGTTGTCCAGAGTTCCACATCTCCCCAAGACTTCAGACATTACCTGCAAGCTTGGTGTCCATATTTTTTAATCTACAGTCTCCAAATTTGAAGTTTTTCACTACTCTTTTAGGATGCTAGTTCCAACTCAGAAGTGCCCAAGGTCACCTTCACTTGTAATGTGCTGGCTTCAAATTCAGGGGTTTCCGCTACCCCCTCAACCAGCTGTCAACCCAGGGGTCCTCCATCTTTCTCGCCTCTGACCTGCTGACACCCACTGTTCCCTCAAATTCATTAATTAGTAAGAATAACTCAAAGGGATTGGTGCCTTTTGGTTTTTTGTTGTTTTTTTTAAAAAAATTTATTAATTTTAATGAACATTTACAGAGATTTTGGATTTTCATTCATTCACTGTTGCACTTTTCTTCCTGCCCAGCCCTCCCACCTCCAGTTCACACCTCTCTTTGAAAAGCAAAAGAAAAATTCCTTCTTTGGTGTAGGGTTGGTGCCTTTTGAAGAAAGATCTAAAGACCTGATGATGTGTTTCTGAAAAAATCAAAGCCATTAACAATTTTCTGGCCTCCCTTCTAATCTCAGACAGTAGATCAGGTCACCAGGAGTCAGAACGAGTGTAGGCATGCTAAACACCCTTGATAATCGCGTCAACAGACAGTCTTTCTGGCCTGGTCAGCCTCAACCTAAAAGAGAGCTCATTATCATTAACTCTTGAGTGTGATCTAGAAGCGTCATTGAAGACACTTTCAATCATGAGAGAAATTTCAAGGTTTTAAAAGTTAACACGCATACTTACCTGGCAGAGGAAACACCATGATCAGGCAGGTGGTTTTCCCAGGATGAGGCTCACCCATTGCACTTGGGGTGTGCTGACCCCTGCGATTTCCCCAAATGCGGGAAACTCGACTGCATAATTTGTGGTAGTGGGGGACTGCGTGCGCGCTATCCCCTGAAAAAAAAAAAAAAAAAAAGTTAACACGCAAACGAAAAGAAGTTAACACAAAGACCAAATTCTTGGGTTAAATTTAATATAAACCTCAAAATAAGGAGCTTTTAGAAAATAGCTCTTACACTTATCTGGGGGTGATATCACATACTCATCAGTTTTAGGAGGAAAAAAACTTCTAAAAAAGGTTCATTAGTGTGAAACTTATGAAACTGTGTAAGTGTAAGCCAGGGTTTCTACCTGTTCAGTCATGGCTGGTGGGACAAAATTAGAAGAGACTCAAATTTTTAAAATTTAAAAAGTTTGGGTAAAATCAAACGATAACTAGAGCAGAAAAATATGAATCAAAGCCCTGCAATGAGAGACTCTGAAGGGGCAGAGTGAGCCCTTTCTGGAGCTTGATTTTGAAGATTGTCAGTAGACTGGACTGTGGAGAGTGACATACACTCAAAGCAGTACACTTGACTCCCATCTTCGCGTGAGGTACTACTGTTGTCGACTTTGCAGGTCAAGAAATGTGGTTGTTATGCAGGCCATCAACCCATCATATTTCCCGTTTTCAGTTCACTTACATATTAACAGCTTTTGATCTGTTCCAGTTTCACTTCACAGTCCATACAGAACCATTTTAATGCCCTACTGTACGAAGCCCCTGCTGCTAAGTAATTCCAGGCCCCACTGCACTGGCTCAGCAGGGTACATCTACCCCATTGTTTAGGATTGAGGCTAAAGTACTGAACACACACTAAGCACCCTCCTATGCTGTAGATATGAAAAAAAATAAAACTTTGCTCCCAAGAAAAGATTATTTGATAGCAGTTTGAGACACTGGTTTTCCAGATACCAAATCAGATGTAAAGAGCTATTTTTCTAAATATCTTCCTTCATATTTCTCTAGTCTTACACAACTGTGGCATTAAGTATAATAAGAACTTATTAACCATGGTAAAATTTCTTTTTGTTTTTTTTTAAAAAGAACCTTGGAAGTGGAATTCTTACACTTGTGTTTTGGTCTCATCTTACAGCTCAATCATCCAGAGCTTGTGGAAGGCCTTGTGCTTATCAACGTTGACCCCTGTGCTAAAGGCTGGATTGACTGGGCAGCTTCCAAAGTAAGCATTAAATAAAGGTGTCCATCAACTGTTCTCTCAAACTGACTTATCTTCTTTATTTTTCAATGAGGTACACACAGTTAAAGACAGATAGATTTAAATATATAATCCAGTGAGTGTTTATAGAAACATAATCATTACCCAATCAATATGTGCAATATTTCCATATCACTGGAAAGTTCCTCTGTGTCTTTTCCTATTTGGTACTACCTCCCTCTTAAAAATTAATGTTAGTTTGTGGTGGGTTGTTTGGTTTTTTTTTAATTTCTGTCACAATATGTTAGTTATTACTGTTAGTTATGTATTGTTCTTCAGGTTCATATCGTTGTAAACACGGAATTTTTATTCTTTTGTGTTTAGCTTCTTTTATTTATCACTTATGTTATATTTAGCAGTAGTGTGATATTGACTCATGTTGTGTTTAGCAATAGTTCATTTTAACTGCTGGTTAGTAGTCTGTTGTATACCTCTAAAATATAGGTTTCTATGATTTTATTACATAGTTTTCAGTAGACATATACTGACTTTTTCACCCAGGATTGACATTTTCTGGGTTATAAGATATTGTATAGTCAGTTAGCTTCTTGTTGTTATGTGCTATCAAATCGGAACCAATTCATAGCTGACCCTCCAGTGGGTTTTCAGAGACTATAAATCACATGGGAGGAAATTGCCCATCTTACTCAAGCAGAGCAGCTGGTGCCTTTGGGCTGGCAGCATAGCTCTTTACCACTAGTCACCAGAGCGTCAGAGTGTTTGGCCAGTTTACACAGCTACCAGCGGCATAATGAAACTTCTGTTTCTTCACATCTTTACATCAAAATATTTGAATTATTAATTGTTGTTGTTGTTGTTATGTGCCATTGAGTCGTTTGCTACTCATAGCGACCCTATGCACAACAGCTCTAAACCCTGCTCTATCCTGCGCCAACTGCACTGCCTCTGACACACCCATCCCGATTACCCCAGTCACCGAATCAATCCATCTCATAGAGGGTCTTCCCCTCCTGCGCTGTCCCTCCACCCTCCCAAGCATGATGTCCCTCTCCAAGGACACGTCCCTCCTGGCAACATGTCCAGAGTATGTCAGACGAAGCCCCAGAATCCTTGCCTCCAAGGAGTTGCTTGATTTAATCCTCTCCAAGATGAATCTGTTTGTTTTCCTGGCAGTCCATGGAACATTCAGTACTCTTCTCCAGCACCACAGCTCATAGGCATCAACTCTCCTTCTGTCCTCCCTAGTCATTGTCCAACTCTCTGATGCATAGCAAGCGATTGCAAAGACCATGGCCTGTATCAGGTGCACCTTAGTCTCCAGAGAGACACCGTTGCTCTTGAGTACTTTAGAGAGGTCCCTAACAGCAGACTTTTCCAGCGCAAATTATTAATATTTTAGTTTTTATAAAAAACGGGAAATTTTATCTCTAATACATTTTTATTTCTATATAATTATCTATCACCAACATATCCTTAGTTACCTTTTAAAAAAAATTTTAAACCATGTTGGTGGGTAACTAATGGTGAATTTTAATTTTCATTTCCTTGAGGGACAATTATGTTGAACAGACTTTTTCTAAAATAAACACCTTTTTTATATAAAGAACCTATAAAAGTTTTGGATTATATGTATATATTTTTTAAACTTGAGTTACTGGAGATAGGAAACTTAGGGCTATAGTAAAACTTTAAAATACAGTCCCAGGACCAACCCAGAAAGAAGAGAGAGTAAGGGGAAAATTTTATGCTATTTGCATTGAATTCACCTATGCTCAAAATTATTCACTGTTTTTAGACTAGAAAGTTAGTAGTTGTGAGACACCTTCTTTGCTAAAGAAAAATTATTATCAATTGTGAACTTTTAAAATTAGGCAGTGATGTTATAAAGTTTTTCAGAGAGAAAATAACCTAAACTTTCATAGCCTGCTAGAAGGTGCCAATGTGATAGTCTCATTTTTAAACAAATGCCTACCTCTAAACACTTTGTTGTATAAATATGCTTCTAATACCCGCTGAGATAGTCTTCAAAATACCACCACCCAGTTTGCCACAATTTTCAAGTATCTTTCTTGATACTCAAATCATGAAGTCCAGTTATTTCTTGTCTAGGAACTTACCAGAAGTTAATAATTAGTGATACTTATAAAGATTTTATGGGGGAGGGCTGAAGATGGGTAGGGATAAAACCACAGGGTTGCACAGTTTGCTGTGTACAGGGAGTGGGGGAAGTAAATGGGGAAGGACCCAGGCAAAAAGACAGGGTAATTGTGGGGAAGGTCCAATGGTGATTATAAAACATGATGCATGAAAATGATTATATGAAACATGGTATGAATGAAGAATAATGTGAAACACAGTGTGTACAAACTTTGTAAGCAAACCAATTAAAAAAAAGATTTATATGTAAGAATGATTATTTTAAATAATAGCACATAGTGCTTACTATGTTAGGTACTGTTCTTTCATTTTTTTAGTGTCTGTTTAAATTTTTCATTCTCAGGACAGCACAGTGAACAAATACCATTATGTTTCACAGAGATACTAGGTTCTTTGCTTAAGATCAGACAGCTAATAAGTTACAGAACCATAGTATTCTGTAAGCTTTATTTATAAGGCAGAAAGATACAGCTTAAATGCCAACAATACAGGCTGGGTATAGTAAGTTACGATTTCGTTGTGCAACGGAATACTGTGCCTGCCACTTTTAAAAATTATGCTATTTGATCATTTTAAGGAAATTATAACATTCTCATAATGTTGCATAAAAGCAGACATAAAACTGTACAGTATCCTAAGTTTGTTAAATACATATATCCACAAGAGAAGAGAGAAGGTACTCTCTCTTCTCTTCTAACATAGAAGATAATTGTTATAATAGTTATCTGATTGAATGCATCATAGGCAAGTTTTATTTTTTTTAAAATCCATATTTTCTTAATTTTATGTAATAGACCTAGTCCTCTTTTATTGACTACCTTGTTATCTGACATTTTGCATTTCTGACAATAGTAAGAAATCTATTGACCATTCTGCACATTAGTGACATGCATTTGGATTTGGCAGTAATGATCACTGAGATGTGAGGTTCTGGCTGTGATGTCAATTTAGTTGGACCAATGATATCAGTGTGGGGTAAAACAAGCAAGTCTGTCTTGGGGGAAATGGAGCCAGTGTGCTCCTTAGAAGTAAGGGTGGTGAAATTTCATCTCACATACTTAGAGCTTGTTGTCAAGAGGAACCAGTTCTTGGAAGAAGACATCATGATGGAAAAGGTGGAGGGTCAGAGAACAATAGAGAGATAGATTGACACAGTGTCTTTAACAATGGACTTGAGCATATCAGAGAGCATGAGAATGTTGCAGGATAGGGCAAAGTTCAGCTCTTTCTCAAGCAGAACAGCTGGTGAATTCAGATCACTGCCTTTGGGTTGGCAGCACAACCCCTTACCACTAGTCACCAGAGCTTCAAAGTGTTTGGCCGAGTTACACAGCCACCAGCGGCATATGAAACTTGTTTCTTCACATTCTTCACATTCTCTGGTTGCTTGGAGTCATAGTCAACTCTTCAGCACCTAATAATGTTAAAGTCATCTTCCTTTTTATGACTTGACGTGATCTCCATTTTCATATAACGTAACAGCTTGGTCTTTTCTCCCTCACATTGTTTGCATCCCAACCTCAAACTCATTGGTATCAAGTAGATTCCAACATTTAGCAAACTCTGACTGGGTTCCTATCACAGTGGGAAGAGAATGCCCATCTGTATCCTGAGGCGTCACTGGTGTGTTTGAACTGCTAGAGATGCTCTGCCTTTGGGTTAGCAGAACAGTGCAATTCACTGCCCACCAGAACTCCCTGGCAATAAGTAAGGTGAATTATTTTTAAATATTAATGTATTTCACCTTCCAACAAACCAGACCCGAAGAAGTTTTTATTCATTCCTTCTCACATTTACATTTTTGAGAAATGACATATACCCTAACTTTGTATGAGAAAAGTTTTCTTCTGATTCCTGTTTAGTATATGAATATGTAAAAGTTTACCTAATTACTATTAATAACATATAATAATCTAAAAATTATTCTAAAACATCAGAATGCCCTTTGGGTATTGAAACATGAAAGAGGATTGCTTATTAAATAATTACCTTTTAATTACTAACCCATGGACCATTAATAACACATTGTGCTCTGTCCATACCCATACTTCCTGTATCTTCTCCATCTCCACTCTAATTCAGTACTTCATCTCTGTTCCACATGAATGATAAATTGAGCATAAATCCAAGGGCGACGACTTAAGGGGAATCAGCAGCACAATCTGAGTTGGAAATTTTTCTGAAAATAGACTAACAGTTTGTACAAGGACAGATTGCTACATTTATTAGACTATGAGTGGCATCTTTGTCAAATGGGAAAAATTAGGAGAAAAATGTTCGTAATGCAAGAACATTCTGTAAACATAGCTCTTTCCTCCCACTCTCTGAAATTAAGATAGCAAAAATTGTCAGGATAAAAAAAAATTGTCTCTTAAATAGTATAGAAGTGGCTATAAGTCTGTCCCAGTTGGCCACAAATCCAAATGTGAACACAGAAATATGAGCAGAAATTAAGTAGCAAGTAGATGTGAGTTCTAGGTCTCAGATTTTCAAAGAATTCACCATTTTTCTAGCTTTCTGCTTCCTGTCAGTCTGTATTATTAATCTGGAAAGGAAAATTAGTTTTATTCTCCAACTTGTTTCATGTTTTCACCAGCTTTGTAAAACCAGCATTTCATGAAAATGTATGATACTTAGACTTATGTTTTTTTGAAAGTTGATGTAATTGTAATATAAAGGGAAAACTTGATGGATTTTTATATAGTCTACTCCCTTGACATGGAGTTTTTATCTTTTCAGATCTCATGCTTGACAACCAATGTTGTGGATATTATTTTGGCGCATCACTTTGGGCAGGTAAGTGCTTATTCCATCCAAGAGAGCTGTGTTTATTAGCTTTAGTACAAAGCTTTATTTTAACTTGGGAAAGAAGGGGCAACCTCAGAATTTACCTGATCATAGTAGATTATACCTCCAGGACAGGCTTAGATCTAACAAAGACCCAGGGCCATATGGCTCTTGGGATTTGGAGAGATGAGAGAAGACAGCGTCTCTCCCCGCCCGCCCCCCCCCAATTCCCTGTAAGCAGTATGCCATCTGTTACTGTTTGACAACATCACGTGCTTCACCAAGCATCTTTAGAACCATAATGAGGTCTGAGAAAAGCTTCACAGAAATAGAATCTTCAGAGAAAAAAAGAAACCGTGAAATGTTAGTACTAAAAGAACCTTAGAGATCATTCTAACTTCCTTCAGTGAGGAAGGTGAAGCCAACAAAGAGAAGTGACAATTACCAGGTGAATAATTGTCAGACAGGGAAGGGGCTAAGGCCAGGGATTCAATCCTCTTTTTACAGAGAAATGTGCATTGGATGGCCTAAAAAGTAGTAATAGAAGAAATAAGCAATGAGGTGGGAGAACCATGAGATATCTGGAGTGGGGAGATGAGAATAATTAAAATAGGGATAAATGTATGCTCAAATGCAGTATCTACAGTTAATTTTAAATATTCTTTGAAGGAAAATAGTAGAAGGAAGAAATAGTAGCATTTACTGAGTATCAGTTATTTATGCTAAGCACTATGATGAGTACGTTAGATACATACTCCCAGTTATTTTCCATGTGCTAATATTAGCCTCATTTTCTTTTTTTCTTTAATTTTTTATTAATTTTAATGAACATTTATAGAGATTTTGGATTTCCATTCATTCATTGTTGCATTTTTCTCCCTGCCCACCCCTGCCCCCCAGTTCACTCTTCTCTTTGAAAAGTAAAAGAAAAATTCTTTTCATTGGTATACAATCCCTGCCCCCGCCTCCAATCCCTGCCCAGTACATTCTACTAGGCAACCTTCATTCTGAATTCTTGTCATAACTATAATACCCAATCATATATCACTTTTAAACAGTTCTTACCCTCATCTGTTTTAATGCAGTATACATAATTTATCCAATTTTTCTCAGTCTCACCCCAACCCTGATGTCAGCCCCATTCTGTAGCTCAGTCTTTATCCTCCACTTGCAGAGAAAAACAGACATGGAAAGTTCTTAACTAATTACTTTCATTCCCCCTGTTGTCATACTAGTAGCCTTAGGTCTGCTGAATCAGTGACTAGTCTTCCTCCCACTTTGCTACTCTGAAAGATATTGCTGTGGTTACCAGGAATGGGAAGATGGAGAAAGGGAAGTAAATGGATAAAAGGTATATTTTAAGAGAGAGAAGGAAGGGACTTGATGACCAGAACAATATTACTAAAGAGAAGGAAAACACACAGAGAGATACAGGATATTGGAATTAAAAGTTTATTGGTGCTGTCACTTTTTCTTTTATCTTTAACCTGGTGTGTAAGGGGTCAGGGAAGGGGGTGTTTGTGTATGTGTTTACTGTTAATTTGGCTTCTGAAATTAATAAAGCTAAATTCAGATCCAATTTGACAGTACACGCACAAAAAAGAATAATAAAAAAAATTATAAAAAGAAAGTAAGAGACTTACCTTTCTTTTTTAAAATTTTTTATTTCAATTGAAATTTTAATGAAAGTTTATATAGAACTTGGATTTTCATTCTTTCATTATTGCACATTTTCCTCCCTCCCCCTCCCCCAGTTTGCTTTTCTGTTGGAAAAAAACCTCTTCCACTGTTGCACAGTTTCCTCCCCACACCCCCAAGTCCACTTTGCTATACAGCTCTTATTCTGGACTATTGGAGGCTTACTTTTCATTTTATGTATTGTTTTGTTTCTTTGATATTTTATACCTTTAGTTATATTGGTAATAAAGTTAAAATAATAATAAATTTACTAAATGAAATATCATAAGTTAAATGTACCGTATAATTTTATATATATTAATGAAGATTTATAAATATTAACAGATTATATCAATGAAGTTGTAAATAAGTTAATTATACAGATTTGTAAGTATTAAGAGAAATACTACCCTTACATTTATTTTTAAGTTTTTATAATCTTTATAACAGCCCTTGTTGCAGATAATAGCTACTTTTCTTTCAATGAGAGGAGGCCTGGTGGCACAGTGCATAATGTATCAAGCTGCTAACCAAACACTTGGCAGTTCAAAGCCACCAGGTGCTCCAAGGAAGAAGATGAGCAGTTGTCTCATAGAAGATTTACTACCTTGGATATGTAATGGAGCGCTGCTATGAATTGGAATAAACTTGATGGCAGTGAGTAGGTTTTTATGAGATTGAGCAAAACATGAAAATTAACAACAATGGAAAAAGCCACAAATAATGAACTAAGGTTCGGATTGGTTATGTGACTTGCCTAAGTTCCACAGCTAGTGCTTAAATCCTTATCTAGTGTGGTTTCCATCTCCAAGTTTTGCACTCCAAGTAGAGTTAATTACTAATTATTTCCATTATAGGGTCCTTGGTACACCCATGACACTAAACAAATCTAATGCAAATAGGAAAATTTTCAATCACTTGCTTACCATCAATAGACCCCTGGTTCTTCACATGTTCCTATCATGGGCATTGAGAAGATAAACTTGTTTCGTATTGTAAAAGTTTACCTGTGACTTCTTTCTTTTGTTTCAGGAAGAACTACAGGCCAACATGGATCTAATTCAAACCTACAGACTTCATATTGCCCAAGATATCAACCAGGAAAACCTACAGCTCTTCCTGAGTTCCTATAATGGGTATAAGCTGTTTTTCTGTTCATTTGCTTAATGTAGATTACATTTTAAAAGATAATTAACAGAATCAAAAAAGGCGAAGTAAACTATTCTTACACTGTTGTAAAATAGGATAGATATACTGTCTCCCCACACAAGGTACTTTTGCAATATGAAGAGTTTTAAAAAAGAATGAGTGAACTAAAAGTTATTTTTGGCATGTTCAATACCAGTTGCCAGTATAGGACGTTGTAAAACAAAAGATTCCTAAGTTATAAACACACACACATTAAGTGCACAGGAATATACATATAAGGCAGGCAAAAGATAAGCCTTGGGCTTTATTTCAGTTTCTGTATAGTGATCTTGTCATCAGGCAGAAAGAACACATGGGCTTTAAAAATGTCTTTTGTTTGTGTGCATCCCTGTTCACTGTGAGAGTCTAATTCTTGCCTTGGAACCAGCTTCCCTAGACTATAAGTGTTAGCTCATTTTAGCTTTCACTCTTTAGGAAACGGAAAATGATGGAAGAAATTAGTCAACTTTAATTTACTCAAAAGTAATCCATCCTCTTATTTTAAGGAATTTATTCTCATAAACTAGTTGGGAAATTAAGCACTTAGAACTTGAAGATTTCAGAAACACTGCTGTTGAAGCAACTGTGAAGTTGATTCCTTTCAGTGTCCTGCAGAGCCCTTTAGAGTTGAGCAAGGAGCCACCAAAATGGCTAATCCTGAACAAGGCCTACAGGGCCAGTATGAGAGGGAGTTTTCACATTTCTCGATACATTTTGGTTATCACAATCAAATACCAACCAAAGTTGCTGTGAATTTACCTGAAAACAACATTGCTTCTGCTTTATTTTCCTAGACGCCGAGATCTGGAGATTGAAAGACCCTTGGTGGGTCAAAATGGCAATGCAAGAACATTAAAGTAAGTTTTCACATTAAATTGCTAAATATCATTGCCTGTGTGAGAAGCACTTCAATGTACAGTGAAGTAAACCCACTTTTTTGCTAATGACATCTACTCTGCCTATGTCTAGGTGTTGTACGTTATTGGTGGTAGGGGACAGTTCACCTGCAGTGGAGGCTGTGGTACGTATATCTTGTTATTGTGAAGATGAATATGGAAGAAGATATCTAAGTATACATCTGACATGAGGAATGATTGATGGGTACTAGTTTTTATTTATGATTGCAGAGATCAGGTTTTTTTGCTCCTTGTTATGCACATTGGAAACAATTTCTCTTCAGCCACAAGTTTTATCAGATGGGATATGTGCTGCCTTTTATTGCTTTGTGCAATATAGTTCATTTTGTGACAGGTAGTACAACTAGACACCCTTTGTTGTCAAATATATGACAGCCTCAGTCTTCTGCAGTCACTGTAAATCAGGCCTAAATCAGCAGCTGAGAGAGAGCCCCTGTGCTTTTCTGTACCTCCTTCTCAAGCAAATACCGAATTAATAAAGTCATATCCACACATTGTGGAAGAGAAAAAGTTGGAAAAGAAAAGAATGGTTGGGGGAAGCATAATGCCATTGCTCAGTGACAGTTACTACCTTTTTCTTTAGCATATATATGCTGGATCATATTAAAATTAATGGTTTTAGACCCTAATCACATTATTGATACCCAGTTTCCAAATGTAAAGTCAGTATGTTATTGTTGTTGTTATGTGCCATCGAGTTGCTTGCAACCCATTGTGACCCTGAATCCTTCCCTATCCTGAGCCAGTCTCACTCATTCTGACACACCATCCCTCATTCTCCCAGTCACTGTATCAATCCATCTCATCCTGGGTCTTCCTCTCCTGCGCTGTCCCTCCACCCTTCTGAGCATGATGTCCTTCAAGGACCTGTATCTCCTGGTCACGTGCCCAAAGTATGTGAAGTGGAGCTTCAAAATCCCCTCTCCAAGACAGACCTATTTGTTTTCTTGACAGTCCATGGTATGTTCAAGACTCTTCTCCAGTAGCACAACTCGGAGGCATCTATTTTTCTTCTGTGATCCTTACAGCTCTCGGAAGCATAGCAAGTAATTGTGAAGACCATGGCCTGGATTAGGCACACCTTAATCTCTAGACTGACATCGTTGCTTTTCAGCACTCTAGAGAGGTCCTTGACAGCAGATTTTCCCAATGCAATTTGTCTTTTGATTTCCTGACTGCTAGTATAAAGAGTGTTGATAGTGGAGCTGAGCAAGCTGTAATTGCTAACAACCTCAATTTCTTCTCCATCTTATCTGGGTGTTGCCAGTTGGCCTAGTGGTGAGAATCTTTGTCTTCTTGATGTTGAGCTTCAATCCATATTGAAGACTGCAGTCCTTGACCTTCTGCAGCAGGCACTTGAGGTCTTCTTCATTTTCAGCAAACAAGGTTGTGTCATCTGCATATCATAGGTTGTTGCTGAATCTTCCAATCTTTTTTTTATTTTTTTATTTTCAGCCTGTTTATTCTGTCTTCTTTTTTTTTTTAACTTCCTCCAATCTTGATGCCACATTTCTCCTCATAAAGCCTTACTTCCCAAATGATCTGTTCTGCATACAGATTGAAAAAAGCATGGGAACGGGATGCACCCCTGATGCACTCCTTTTCTGATTTTGAACCATGCAGTGTTTCCCTGCTCTTATCTGAGGACTACTTCCTGATCCAAGTATAGGTTTCATATAAGCACAATCAAGTGTTCTGAGATTACCGTTTTCCTCAAGGTTAGCCACAATTTCTTGTAATCCACACAGTCTAATGCCTTTGCATAGTCACTGAAACACAGATACATGTTTTTCTCTTTGTTTTCTGCCGAGATCCATCTGAATTTTGCAATAATGTCTCTAGTGCCACGACTTCTTCTAAACCCAACTCTTATTTCTAGTAGTTCTCTGTCAATGTACTGTTCCAGTTGTTTCTGGATAATCTTCAGCAAGATTTTGCTAGTCCTGCTTTTTTTATATTTGTAAAATACTGACTTCTGAATATTTCATTATTTAACCTCATTCTTCTCCTATTGATTTTTTTTTTCATTTTTTGCCTTTAATATTACTACAGTTGGACATATTTATAATTATATGGCTGGATTTTTTATTTCCCTGGGATGGATTCCCAGAAGTGCAATTAATGTGTCAAAAAATGTTTTTGCAAGCTTTTTATGTTTCTGTCAGATTCCTTTTCCAAAAGACTTTTTTTTTATGCAGAGACCTAAAAATCGAAAGACCATATTGCTGGTGTGTACAGCCACCAGCACTATATGAGAGTACCTGTTTCACAGCATCCAATTCAACACTGGATTTATTAGTAGTTAATTTTGATAGGGTAAAAATAATATCCCTCTGTTTGAATTTGCATTTCATTGATTATAAATGAGGCTGACTAGCATTCAGTACTTGACTAGCATTTGCATTTCTCTTTTCACACAGCATATATATCTTAACTAGGTATCTGTATGAAATTACCTAGTTTTCTTGGCAAGCTTCACTTCTGCCCTATTTAGAGCAAAACTGTTAAGGAATGACAGTTTTTGGAGATTCTAATAAATAATTAGAGGTGTAGGCATTGGTGAGAAGGTCTGTAGGGCAGACAATATGTTTGTAGGGTGAGATAAATGTGAGAATAGAATATATTCACACTTCTTGAATTGCTTGTAGAGCATTCTGTGTCTGGTGTAAAAATGCATGGCAGAGCTTGTAACCCTTAATGTTTACTGTTGCAAAGATACCCATCAAAAACATTTTTAAATTCATGTGTACTTAAAAACAAAGAGGTAAGATTCTGGTTTTGACCCATAATCAGAATTCCTTAATAATGCTGAGTATTTCTATGAATCTTTGTCGTCCCCCCCCTTTTTTTCCATTTGCCTTTGTAAAATTACATGTATATGAAACAGCATTTCCAAGTATTTTTCAAGACTCTGTAATTATAAATATAATTATACATAATAATATATAATATTTATTTATTTATATATATAAATAAAAGCTCTTTCTCATTTTCATATTCCTCTTGTTTATAGTAGAAAAATGCAGGCGCCCCACCTGTACCACAAAGCAGATATTCTAAATATAGTAAAGCCCTGTTCGGTGCCAGAGAATTTTACCACACAGATTGGTCAGATTTAGAGGAAGATGCATGAATAGAAGAATAAAGAGACTACAAATCTGATCTCTCTTGCTAGCTATTCTTACTCATTTACTCACCATCATTTTTTGTACATTTCTTTTTTTTTGTGGAACACTTCTTGCTGATCTTCTCTGTATCGTTTCAATTTTAGTATATATGCTGCCAAAGCGAGCACTTTTGTGCATCTCTTATGTGTTAAATGCTACAGAAAAAACAAAAATTAATAAGATGTTGTTTGGAAAGCTGAGGGAGAAAAGACACATACCAAAATCCAACCATTGTAATTATCATCGAGTATTACACTCTTTTAAAAAATTATCCATATAAAACCAAATGGACACCAGCTCTTCTAAAGCATAGGCAGAAATGTAGAAGAGCAAAGAGTTTGGGTCAATAGAAGTGAAATAACTAGAACAGAAATAATGAAAGTGTTGACACAATGTAGAATGTAACCTGTCTGACATTGGTTACATAACCGATGTCATAACACAGTGTTGAATGGGAATAAGGTTTAATAAATGCATACTTAGGTGTTCATTCACATAGAAAATATTTACTAGATATCTACGATTGTTGTTATTTGTTATAGAGTTGGAACTGACTCAGAACTGACCCTCCAGTAAGTTTTTCAATAAATCACACTAGAGGAAACTGCCTATCCTCTTGCAAAGTAGTTGGTGGATTTGCCTTTGGGATTGCATCACAGCTTCTTACCACTAGGCTACTAGTACTCCTTGTCTAGTATTGTTTTTGTTTTGTATCATTGAGTTAGAACTCACCCATAGCTCATGGTCCAGCAGGTTTTCAGAAGCAGTTAATCTCACAGGAGGAGATTACCCATTAGAAACCATGTTCTTTACTAGTACATTGGTTTATCTCTCCCAGCACTGTCGTAAATAAGGCAGATCAAAACCCTCACTCGGCAACCCTGGCTTTTAGATCATCTCCTGATTTTATGAGAGTTTTATATACCAGCCTACCAGCAGTCCCTGAAGAGAAAGCTCATCTCAGTTACCAGTTTCTGTCTAGATAATTGCATTAACTTCCTGACTGGCTTGTTGCCTCTGCAGTCTGTCATACAAGCCACTGCTGGTTACTTTCCTAAAATAACTCAAATTCTCTTACCTCAGAAACCTCCTGTGGCTTCTTGCCTTCAGCTTGAGTCTGCCTCTCTCAGCCTTCCCTCTCCCTGTGTAATCATTCCACACTTGCCTCTGTAACCTCACATGTGCCCTGATGCCCTGTCTTTGTGGTTTTTCCCTTGACTCTGGAAGCCCTCAAATTTACACTGCTCATCTAGTCTATGTAGGACTTCCCGCTTAATAACTCAGCTCAGCTGTGAAGTTTTTACAGTTAATTCATTCTGCCTCATATATTTCTACCCCTCTAGAACTCTTAGCATTTTGTGTGCATGTACTTGGCAACCATGTGTAGAAGGATAGATACAGCTGTTTGAATTAACCATAAAATGTTGCTAAATTTAGGTAATATCTTCCCAAAACATTTGTTTTTAGGCCCTTGAGATACAAGGGAGCAATATGTGAATACAAAAGATTGTTATTCTTTATTATGATACAAAAGAACAAGGTGTAATGAGACAAAAATTACAGATTCAGCTTTACACTAGAGAGCCAGGACTTGAAAACAGACAAGGATGAGAAGCCCAGCATTTCCATATCATAAGAGGAGGGGTGAGGGAAGAGCCGGGTGGTAAGAATGCTCGGTAGAGCCACCTGTTCTGGGAAACCATTAAAGAGATCCAAGCAGCAGAAGGCGTGGTGCCGTTCACATTTTAAATCAGTATGCTAAATTGCCCCATTTTATAATGGTAGGAAGTCGTGGATATTAGAATCAACACGTAGTTCATCAGACTATAACAGTTTAGGAAATTAACTTAGCCAGATTTTTAGAAATACCAAATATAAGTACATTGTGTGTGTGTGTGTGTGTGTGTGTGTGTGTGTGTGTGTGTGTGTACACTTGGGTGTAAGAGAGAGAAACTATTCCATCTTATATTTCAGTACTGTCTTTGGCTAGTTAAGCCAACTTCAGACTGAGCTATTGATCTTGCAGAATAATTTTTATGCTAAGTCGTGTCTGGTTTTTGTAGCAATTAATAAAATTATTGTACCCTTTTTTTTTTTAGGTTGAATGTAATTCTCGCCTGGACCCTATTAATACAACTTTGCTAAAGGTAAATTATCCATAATCCTACATCCAAAGGTAATCTCAGAAGATACGGGTGTGTTTTTCCTATACTTTTTTCCTCCCCCATAATTTAGAGTTTATAGGTTCGTATTCCATTCAACCACTCAAACATGTTATGTTTTATGACATTGATTACAGTCCCCACATTCTAATGTCACTTTTACCACTGTCTGTGGCTCTGTTTTTATTCACCCTTATATCCACATTCATCCCTTTACCCTCTCTCCCTAACTTCTCAGTTTCATCTTGGACTATGATCCTATGTATTTGAATATTTAATGCTGAATCTCCCTGCTATTGTTGTCTATATTGTAGATCTGCCTATTACTTGGTTAAAAGTTGTGCCAGAGGTTAAGTTCAGTTCTAGGTCGATGGGTGACTAGGGCCCAGAGACTCAGAAGTTCTGTCAGGCCAATAAGCCTGGAAATTACTGTGATTTTGAGTTATGTTCTCCATTTATCTCCTCTCTTCTCTCCAGTACCTTACTATTCTGATCCCAAAGCAGTTAGCAATGGTAGTCAGGCACCATACAGTTCTGGTCTCAGGGTCATGGATGTTGAGGATGGTGCTGTGGACTAATTACTGCTTTGGTTTTCTTTACTCTTCTTTGCTTCACAGAGAGAGATCTATTGTTGCACCATAGATAACCACACAAAAGCTTTTAAGTCTCCAGTCACTAGTCACAAATGTGGGATGTAGAACATTGTCTTTGTGGACCAGGTTAAGCCAGTTAACCTTGGTGTCCCCAGAGGCTGTGGTCCTGAAGCCCTGTGAGTAGTGGTCAATTCCCTAGGTTGTTTGTTTATGGTTAAAAGATAATAAAACATAGTATTTTCATCTCCCCCTCCCATTTTTTTCTCTATTTGGATGTATTTGCAGCCTATACACATACTCAAATACTCATGTTGAGCAATCATTTACCAAACTACTATACATAATTATAGATACAGTCCTTTCCATTTGCCCCTGTCTTCTGTTTGCCTGTGGATTTGTTATTTGGTTGATAACTTACAGGTTAATATTTTTTATTACTGGTAATGAAGGATTATGTATTATATCTACATATTGTAGCCTACAACCTTCCTATACATTTTTACATCATCAAGATCATTTATACCTTTGTATCTGTTTTTCTTGACTTTCTGACAAGCATTTTCCTATGTCATTTATAAATTTTTAAAATGTTGCTCTGAAAAATAAGTAATAGTTAGAAATTGTTTATGTGCTAATCCTGGGGTGTGGTAAAGAATCTTTTGATAACTTTCATAAGGTGAAAGAATGCTATATTCTTTACCTTAGTACACATAGGAAAACTCTTGCAGTTAATTTATAAGTATAACATCAAGTTTCCTCCCTTTCTAATTGGACATGAGGCAAGAACTTCAACCTAGCTTTTCCCCAGAACTTTTAGGTAACTGACCTCCTCTCTTCCCATGCAGTTTACAACCTCTGGGAGGTCAGCTCTAAGTCAGTCAGTTCCAACTTGACAGCAGTGAATTTTGAGTGAGAGTTTGAATCAAGATGACTAAAAATGTAAGGGCTTATCTCACGTCACTTTTGCTCATCCTCACCCTGAAAGATCTCTGCCTTTCTCTTTGAGGCATACTTGAAGAGGGGAGTGCACCCATAGTTCTTAGAAACTCAACGGCGGTGCTCTCAGGTGACCAAAACTCAGTGTTTGGGGCTTCAGGTGATGATTGGTCTAGTCTAAATATAATTAAAACAAAGCAAAAGGCTTAATTTTATACTGCATGTTTGAATTAATATTCAAAACCATAAAATTGAACTCAGCAGGAACCAAAGATTTAGTTATTTCTTGGGGAAAAATACCATCTACAGCAGCATAGTACAGAATGAGTAACTCCTGTGGCCCCTTGAACTGAGTCTTAAACTATTTGATAACTCCTTCCAGCATTCTTTCTTTGCATAGGAGAATTATTTCACAATCTTAATTTGGTTTCAACTCTTAAATTCATGAAAGGACAGCCTGTGGCATTTTAATCTGTTCTATACTTAAATCAAGTTAAATGTTTGTTTCTTATATTATACTTAGAATTTTCAAGAGACTATTCTTTGTGGGGGTTTTTTGTTTGTTTGTTTTATTTAAATTTATTATTTCAGTAAAAATTTACACAAAGACTTTGGATTTCCATTCATTCATTGTTGCACTTTTTTCCTCTCCCAACCCTCCCCCCTAATACACTACCCTTTTGGAAAAGTAAAAGAAAA